AGATAGAAAAACAAGAAAAATGGCGAATAATGTGTACTTTTTAAAAAAAAAAAAACTCTTTTCTCTCTGTTAGAACTAAGAAAGCCTCTTTTAGCAAGCCCATTATGGGTTCGACCGGGAACACAATAAGGCGACCGAGTAGTGGGGGTTGTGGAACTGATATATCCGGTCGAAAATAATATATCTTAAACATAATTACCCACCTGTCTGTATTTTGTTTACATTTTTGGAAAGAGAAATGCTCAATTATTTATATATAAACTTTTTGTTATATTGTAGTTTTTAACTAAATTGCGATTTTCTATTATAACTGGAATTAAACAATGTATTACAGTGTCCACGTTTAGCGCGTTTCTAATATTTCTATTAATGTTTCTATTATATATACATATTGATTTATGAGTTGTGTATATTGTATAGGAACGTCGAGCTGCCTAAGTGGTTCCAAGAATCACTGGTGGGGTCTGTGGCAACTTAAATGTAACGATATAACGTTTTCATTAGCAGCTGTCCGGACTCGAGATAATTCGGGAAAATTTAAATAATCGTACGTAACTTTTCGTTGCTCGAAATGATTGAAATAAAGCTTATTTACATTCTATTGGATGTTGGTTATGACCTCAGCAAGTTTTGTAATTTTCATCCAATTGGAGTTTATGTTTTGGACCAATTTTTGTTCCCTATCTATAGAGATAGTATATCGAATCGAAAAAATCGTTATGTGTTTGAGAATTTACAGTAACTGATACACGTCTGTCTAGAAAGCTGTCTTCCCCTGAGATTTGTATGAGAATATCCCGCGAACGGCTACAAACTGCTGTTCTCAAGGACATTTAGCTCTGTACACCTAAATGCGGCGCGTGTCACCTGATCCGTTGCGATTTTTTGTTATGTGATAATTCGCTTCTAAATAATACGTAATATAGGAAATAAAGTTTTATGCTAAAATATTATAGAAATGTATTTCATAAATTAACGTATATTAAAAATTTGTTTAATTTTTTTTGGAAGTTTTTCCTGTAAAGCACTAAAAACAAAATGTTATGTTAATAAGGTTAAGCTTAGCATATAATATAAGTAACAAGAAGAAACTAATATAAAAATGGTTAGAAAATAACGAAATACATTCGAGTATTTACATTAACTAGTTCAGACATGTAGAAAACCTACTCCTCCTCAGGCATTGTTGGGAACAACCAGTGAAATTGCACGATTTTCACGGTCATCCATCTGTGTATCTGTACGGAAGCCTGTGCCAAGTGTGTCCCTGCCAGTTTTGTGTTATATGAAAAGTAATATGTTTCTAAATACAGTAGAGCGTCGTTTATCCGAAGGTCGGTTATCCGAAACGTCGGTTATGAGAAGGAATTCCAGTCGACAAATTTAAATTTTCGTCATTGCTGTGGCGCTGTAATCTTTGGCTATGTCTTGGGCTACTCAAATATTTTACGTTTTTGATACTAAATTAACATCTGAAATATAATTTTTTATTGTTTTTATATTTTTCAATATATTTATTTTGTTTGTAGAAAATAAAAAAATAATTTTTAACGATACAATAGTCTTCGTTAGGCTTAACAACGACGAAAATTCAACGCGAAGCGACACGCAACGGAGAAAAATTTCAATACGGGATAAATTAATATATTTTTCGCACATAATCGGTTATCCGAAAAATAAGTTATCCGAACAACCCCAGTCCCCGATTCATTCGGATAAACGACACTCTACTGTAATAGATAATAAAATAAAGTTTTATAGTAAAACTTTTTAGAAGTTTATTTTATAAATTATTCTGATTTTTTTTGTGGGAGTTTCTTTGTAAACCTTTTCATATCAGCATATAAATCTAGGAAGTAATATATTATAGAATAAGTATTTATTGTGATATAAGATATTCTTTGTATTTGTGTAAAAATATACATATAAACGCGTTGTTTACAATATACTAATTCTCTCTTTATGACCAACTCCAGCTGGTAGTGTGAATCAAGCAATATAGGGCAAACAAAAGATAATAAGCTAATGAAAAATATTTTTATACAGGATTTTTATAAAAACTCTTTTTTCTTCTATCAAAACACGATGTTTTGCGGGAAAACCACTTTCACGGATGCAATTATCGTTTCAATTGTGGTATCTCGCTTCAAATTCGAGCTACATTAAGTGTTTTATGTTTTCTAGCAAAGTCATATTACACTTTCGAGTCTGACTCGAGCAAGGTTTATAGCGTTAAAAAAAACCGGGCGTTTGGGCACCGAAAATTTTTTTTTTGATTTTTGGAATGTTTTTTAAGTCTCCAAATTTTTTCAAAATTTTTTGCCCGCGCGAAAAAATTTTATCGCGATTTTAATTAACCTTTGATAAGGCTCGATTAAGACTTAATTGCTTTTTAATGTTTTTTTATCAAAATTAATTAATCGTTCTAAAGTTGTAGTGCACCGATTTTCCTTCGGTAAAGTTATTTAAAGCTGCTTTCTGATGTCAAAAACGACTTCCGATAGTTTTTTAATTTTTTTAATTAATAGATTTTATTATATAGAAGTTTAATTAATTAGGGGGGGGTCGGAAATCGCAATAAAAATTATAATTTTTTTAAAATATTTAAAAATATACCGCCAGATTGAAGTCACCCTACTTTAAACCCTTGTCCTCCCGCGATGTCTATGAGAATGTCCCGGGAAATCGGACTCCAGCTGTGTTCAAGGTCACCCAGCTGTGTAAACAATGACTCATCGGTGTTACATTTCACAGACAGGCGAAACAAAGGAAAATAAAAT